TAACCATCTAATTAATATAACATTTCTCATGAGTCCTAACCATCTAATTAATATAACATTTCTCATGAGTCCTAACCAACTAATTAATATAACATTTCTCTATGTTTCTCTATTTTTATAACCACCCTTTTGTTTATAATACTTGCGATATTATTTCATTCTCTAAATTTATGTATGCTATGCTAATAAAAGTAAAATAAAAACGTGTGGATGCCAAAACAGCGATTTGAGAACAAACTTGCAGCTCCTTTCTGAAATTATGGCTTGCATAAATGAGCTGTGCACGTGATCTTGATGGTATGTTGTGGCTGTCTGTTGCATACAGTGGTTGCCCGTGTGTAAACTCTGCTTAACATACTAATCGTTTTATGAGAAGAGGTGAACTATTCGATTTGCTGTTCCAGCTGAAGTCCCTAGACAAAGTTTTCTTACCAAAACTGGAAGCGTTTTTCGGAGATAAATAATTTGCCAACCGACATCGAAAGAAACCTCAGCTTACAGTCTTTAAAAGGTGCTCTCGCATTTTGAATTCGACTGAAGAAAAGCATGGCGTCTACCAGCGGCCTTTTTATCTCCAGACGCCCAAAGAAACCGTCGAAATTGCCATTGGATGCAAGGCACGAAATCGCGGAGAGACTAGCATCTGGCTTAAGGCAGTTTACCATAAGTGTCATAGGTGATGAGAGCACAGGCCGTCGTACATTAATACGACGATTCTTGAATATGAATGGCGGACCTTTTCAGCGACCAGAGAGTAGAGGGGACGGAAAACGTGACATCTTCGTGGATCTCAAAGATAGGCCGTATCTTTTCTTACGAGGGACCGTCTGCCTACATACCTCTATTTTGAACCTTCAAGAGTTGGACTTTGAAGCTATTCTTGAAACTGTTGCTAACCTAGATTCATTTGTCGTGATTTTTGATGTGGGACGCAGCATCACTTTTCTCACCGCTATTCACTGCATGGTTAAAATCACTGAATTATTGCGTCACAACGCACCCGAGTTCATCTTGGTGGGAAATAAGATCGATCTCCCGCAGCGTGAAGTTTTAGAGGACAGAGGTCGTGAAGTGGCAGAAACTTGTGGGGCTGAGCACTATTATGAATGCTCGGCTCTGATGAATGTTAACATGGACGCAGTCTTGGATGCCACTTTGATAACGGCTCTCGATCTGAGCATGGTTCTGCCTTCGTGATTCTGTTTCTTGCTTTGGAAAGTCTTCCATGTTGAATTATTTTTGTATTGTTCATATTCTCAATTCCATGTGTTGAAGTGCAACTTCGCTAAATGCGTGGAAAATAGTTGTTATATTGTTAAATAAAGTGTTAACCATGCCATTCAGTTTTGTTATTGAGAAGTGTTTTCAATATTTTCTGGGTGTCCAGTTTCCATCAATTATCAAGCTAAGCAACGATTTTTTTTGAATGCATTAACTATTTTAATTTCAAATTGACTGTATGAATGAGGACTGAATTTGGTTGGTATCTAGAAGTTGGAACACACTCGATTTCGTCGCCAATATGGTTACCTGAGGAATCGAGCGGATTAGTTCCATTGGCAACCCATCGGCTAGATCGCTTACGTCCTGACAAGCGTTTCGCATTTTTGAGCTGTTTACATACAACGCGGATTTTTATAAAACTTAAAATATTTATTAAATATTTAATGAAATAATAAAATATATTTCAATTGGAATGATTTCAATTATTAAAAAAAATGGCAAATAGAACTTGGGTTTATTTAGTGATTATATATTTTTCCAATCATATAATTGAGAGATTTTATCTTTGCCTTATAATAAAAATCGTTTGCTTGGAATTTTTGAAATTGCTTGGTCATATTTTGGAATTCATCGTTTGGAATGCTGTCTTCACCTGTGCGATGGTTTGTTTCATTGATGCGGGACATTGTTCATTTTTCTTTTTCATGCATTAAAAGCGTTTCCTCCCAAGTGCAAATATTAGAACTGAGTAAGTCTTAATTTTTTACTATTACTTATTTTGAAGAACATTTCGCTACTAAGGGGAAATGTTCTGCTAATTCATTAGAGTAATTAAAGGAAGCTGATTCCGTACATTCAATCGGCTAGGAAAGCTAGTAGTTCTGTTGAAATCCTACGTTTAAAACGGGAGATAGTGCAACGGCAAGCCACAAACGCAATGGGTTCGAAAAAAGATGTAAACATTAAACGATTAACTTTTAACTGTGACCGATGCACGTTTGTTTATCATTGGCATCCATCTTGCTTTGGCGACATGGCGCCGTTTTAATAAAAATGTGTTCCAACTCGTAGATTTGAACCCTAAATTTAATTCGATCTGAGGTTACGGATGCAATATAATTTTGCAACGTTCACTCAATCGCTTCGTTAGAAAAAGTTCGATAAAATACGCGAAATCTCGGTCTGATTTCGGTAACTGGAATCATGCGGAAGTATAAAAGCTATAAAACAATGTTCAGTTTTGAAATTTAAAACCGGAAAAGTTAGTCTAGAAAAATTAAAATTACGATGCCCGTATATAATATGAAAATATAGTCGTATTTATTTTCGAAATGTATGACATTTGGCGATCAATGTGCATTGTGTAAAGAAATACAATATCCGGGTAATAAGATATTTCGAGTTGTGCCAAATATTTATGGTGACTTGTCTAGTTGCCTGTTTCAAAGAAATATTTAATAAATTCACATTATTAGATGCTGCTTTTTGAATAGCACCAGACTTCACAAAATATTTTTCATTCTGAAACCCATTTGTTTCATAACTTTCTAAATTGCTGTATTTTCCCAGATAGCAAAGAAAGCTTGTCTAAAAGGTTTTGGAAACCTTATCGTCGGCGAGGGTAAAAGGTTGTCACAAAGGCTTCCATGACAAGGGTTGAACCATTCGGAAAGGTTCGCTAGTCAACAAGGGGTCTATTCTGGTACCCCCGGTTGGGTTGGGAGACGTCACTTTTCCCGTTGTTAACGTGCGGAAAAAATGACATCTCCCAACCCAACCGGAGGTACCAGATTAGACCCGTAAGAAACAAGGATTTTTGTAAGATTTTCCACAAGCTTTTATTGGGTTGGGAGACATCAATTTTTCCGCCCGTTAACAAGTCCGATTCTCGTACCCGTTTTTCCAACCGATTGGGATCTCGCTCGGTCGAAAAAAGGACTCCGATTTCTCGCCAGCTCTGTACCTGGCGTAAACGCCATTCACTAGCGAGAAGTGTTGTTTCGATATCAGAACTTATCAAATTTTCGTTTCAAATGGAGGCTGCACGTTAATTGTGTTTTGAAAGGGTTTATCGGGATAAATGTAATCCCTTTGACCAATCTGAAGAAGAATTTATCAGCTACTTTATATTTTTTAAAAAGTAGTTAAATCTTTTATCGAATTTAAATAATTTAATCGAATAATTTAATACGACAATCTAAAGTAACTAAATCTTTAAAAGTAGTTAAATCTTTTACTACTCCATCAAGATAGTCAACAATAATAGTTGATAATTAGCTAAGATCAATTACATTTAAGGATTTAATTACTTAATATTTTCTTATTAAATTAAATTAGGGTAACATTTTTTTAACATTGAGTGTGGAATGACTTTCCTCATTCCGTATATAT